ATGATCTTTTACAAACAGTGAAACACTACCTAAATATATTTGGGAATAAAGAGAGCCCAAATTGGCAATAAATAAATAAACATCTTTTGGAATGAAGTTTTTCAAAGGATTGGCCTCTACTTTGATATTTCTTCTTATTAAAATAATGTTTTCATTTATACAACAACAGAGGATGTGATTCAATGAATGAAATCTAAGTAATCTGATTTACCATCCTAACAGCTATCACATTTCCATAATCGAATCATTTTGTTTTTGTCACATGGCACACGTGTATTTTGTTAGATAGACTTAATATTTATTGAGTTTTTACTGTATGTCAAGAACCTTAGGAGGATTTCATTTAATTCTAGCAAATACCCTACATATAGTTGCTACAACGGTACACAGTAAACACACTTGACTAAAATGTGTAAGTTAATATACATATCCATGATTATTTTGGGGTCCAATTTATTGAAGTAGCTAAATAAAATAGCTACTCTCTTTCTCCTCATCTTAAAGAGGAGAAAGAGAATGACACTGGCTTGGCATCTTTGAAACTCTTCCTAACTTATTCTCAGTGTGAATATCCCTCCTTTTTTAGACTGCACATACAAAGTGACTCCCCTATTAGATGATTTTTTTCTTTGGGTATTTCCCTACAAAAATTACCTCAATAGTCTTACATATTTTTGTAATTAGCACCATTACAATTCTTAGACTAAATAATTTGTACTGGAGTCAAAGAGATAGAACCTAAAATAAATAAACAAAATGAAAACTCATTTGTGAAGCTAAAAAAAATACATCTTAAATGTCAGGTCAAATATAGATAGATACCTATTTTGACAGATGTATAACCTCCCACCCAAAACAAGATACAGAACATTTCCATTATCCCAAAAAAGACCCACATGACTCTTTTAAGTCAATTTCCTACTCTTTAGAGGCATTCGCTGTTCTGATTAATCATATTTCATATTTTCTGATGATCCAAATATAATTAGTGGAATCAAATAGTATGTACTCTTGTGTGTCTTTTGTCTTTCACTCAACATAATGGGTATCTGCCACTATGCCTGGCTACTTTTTCTATTTTTAGTAGAAACAGGGTCTCACGCTTGTTCAGGCTAGTCTTAAACTCCTGATCTCAAACAATCCTCTGGCCTTGGCCTCCCAAAGTACTAGGATTACAAGGCATTAGCCACCCTCCCCAGCCTCTTGTGAGCATTCTTGTGCAGGTTTTCACTTGGGTAAACTTTGGGAAGTGCAATGTAGAGGTTTATAGAGGACATGAATGTATACAATTGTACAACCCCATCAGCATTGTATAAGCTTCATTACATCTATTTTTGCCATCATTAGATGTTGTAGATTTTTTAATTTTAGCCATTTGTGTGAA